CAATACCAACCAAGGTCTTCATATAAGCTTGCTATACCCCAAGTTTGATAATAATATCTCATTCCTTACTGTAGTTATTGTCCAGAAACCATTTTTCTATTTTAAGTAACACTGTAACGGTGACCTTGACCCCAAGGGGTCCAAATGCAATACCAACCTAGGTCTTCATATAAGCTTTCTTTACACCAAATTAGATTACAATATCTCATTCCTAACTCTAGTTATTGTCCGAAAACCATATTTCTATTTTTCCTAACGGTGACCTTGACCCCAGGGAGCCCTAATGCAATACCAACAAAGATCTTCATATAAGCTTGTTATACGCCAAGTTTGATAACAATATCTCATTCCTAAGTCAAGTTATTGTCCGGAAACCATTTTTCTATTTTTAGTAACGGTGACCTTGACATTGACCCCAAGGAGTCCAAATGCAATACCAACCCAGGTCTTCATATAAGCTTGCTATACACCAAGTTTGATTACAGTATCTCATTCCTAAGTCAAGTTATTGTCCGGAAACCATTTTTCTATTTTAAGTTACGGTGACCTTGACCTTGACCCCAGGAGGCCCAAATGCAATACCAACCAAGGTCTTCATATAAGCTTGCTATACGCCAAGTTTGATAACAATATCTCATTCCTAACTCTAGTTAGTGGCCGGAAACCATTTTTCTATTTTTAGTAACGGTGACCTTGACCTTGACCCCAGAGGGTCCAAATGCAGTACCAACCGGAGTTTCCACATAAGGTTGCTATATACCAAGTTTGATAACAATACCTCATTCGTAACTCTAGTTATTGTCCGGAAACCATGATGTGGACCGACCAACGTACCGACCGACCGACAAGCTGACTCCTATATAACCCCCCCCCCCTAAACTTCATTTGTGGAGGTATAATAAAAGACCTTTTGGCTGTTGATAAATATTCAAAAGGCATTGGAGCACAAACCTCTCAGTTTATTGTGACCTGGAGCAATAAACTTGATAAATATAAGCTCTGTAATATTTAAGATACAATTATTTTGAATGGTTTTTATTTGTTAATTTGATTGGGTTTTATGTCACACCGACACAGTATAGGTCATATGGCGACGTTCCAGCTTTACTGGTGGAGGAAGACCTCAGGTGCCCTTCTGTGCATTATTTCAGGCACGAACCGGCACCTGAGTAGAACTACTGACGTTCCATAAGCTAGCTGGATAGCTTCCTCACATGAAAGAATCCAAAGTCCCAGTCGGGATTCGAACCCACAGCGGTGAGGGGCAAGTGGTTTGAAGTCAACAACCTTAACCACTCTGCCACAGACGCCCCTATATTTTGGATGGTAGGGTATCAATGACTTATAATGCTAAACACTTTTGCCAGCAGTGTTTACTTATTGACCATTCTCTTTATGGATAACAGAGTGTACGACAAGCGAAGATTTTCTTTAAACTGCTGACCTTTGACCTGTAAGAGTAAGTGTGACCTTCAACTTTGACCTGGGGTCTATATCTTGAACCTGAAACACTGGCTTATCATGCTCAACATTTATGCTAAATTGTTTCAAAATCCCTACATGCATAACAGAGTTATGGGCCTAATAAGCTGACATTTAAACTCTGTGTGACCTTGACCTTGGAGCTAGGGGTTTATGTTTTGCGCTATACAAACTGTCTCCTCATTCTACACATTTTGCCAAATCATTTCAAAATCTCATGAAGCATGATAGAGCTATAGGCGGGACAAGGTTTTTGAACACACACGCCAACAACAATTAACTGGGGTAACACTTTATGCTCCCTTGTTTTTATCTTGATGGGATTGTATTAAGATATTTGAAAAGGATGGCATTTATAGTTCAGAACAAAAGGCCTGCAAAGAAGCTTCATTTGTTCTGCATATCCCATTGTTTAGGGTCAAGTTTGAAGAAAATCCTTCAAGGGTCCGACACAAAATGATCGGACATTTGATTTTTGACCTTCAAGATTGATCTTGACCTTGAAGAAGATCGTAAAAGGCATGTAAGATTTATAGAGCTGACACAAAAGTTTGTGATATTTGACCGTTGTCCTTCAAAGGTGACCTTTGCCTTAAGCTGGAATGGCAGTGGCATTGGTTCTGCCCATTGCCTTATTGAGATGAACATCCAAGTTTGAAGAAAATCCATGACCGGGTGTAGGATTTATAAAGCAGAGACGAAAATGTTCAATATATTACGTTTGACCTTCAAGGGTTCCCTTGACCTTGAACTGGCACAGCTGTAGTATGTCTTTTCATGTTGCAGTAAACAGTTATGCCAATTTAAAGAAAATTTATACAGTTTATAGAGCGAGTACATTATTGCCTGTCTGATATTTGACCTTTGACAATCAAAGAAGCTGTGAGCCAGCACTGCAGAGGCATCGGTTCTAAACATTGCCTTGTTAAGATGCACATTTGAGCCAAGTTTGAAAGAAAAATCTTCAAAGGGTATAGGACGCATAAAAGGGAGAGGGCAATGTTTCATATTTGACCTTTGACCTCCATAGATGACATTGACCTTGAGCAAACCAAGCACAGACATTGGTTATGCATACTGCCTTGTTGAGGCAAATTTAAGGAAAATCACACAGGGGGTATAGAATATATAGAGAAAAGAAAAAAAAGTTTGATGTTTGGCATTTGTCCTTCAAGGGGATATTGACCCGATGGAAACAAACAGACGGAATGACTGACCTAATGATGCCGCAAAGTGATTCCAGTATAGCACCAACCACATTATATGGTAGGATATAATCAAATGTTACATTGTAATTTCATAAATTTAATAATATTATAAATTTAATGATATTGTATGATCCGGAGTATATAATTGTATCATATTAATTTCTAAAATGATAAAGTAACAATGACATTCAGCTGGTTTTTATTTATATTAATGGCAATATCATACACTTGTATGTACACCATCAAAACAAATATTTACTCACCTAACTTGGTTTGCTCATACTCTGCCTGACTTTGACCTGAGGAAGTTACTGTCGTAATTTTTGCCATCTCCTGCAAAAACAAATCATCTTCTTTACTCCAAAAAAGACATTTTTGTTCAAAACTAATCAACAAGATATAAATAGTATTTAATGCCCAAAGGTATGTACAGAATTGTGTACATATTTTATTTCATTTTTATATTTTAGCATAATAACCATTATGATCACCCTATTTAACCCATTACTTCATGAGCATTTTCTGAAAAAATGGCTGTTTTCATTGAAAAGTCTCCCGTTACAAGTTCAAATTGCTATAAAACTATATAAACTTCTTCAATACTAATCAAACTTGGTACAAATGTTGACTGAACCATTGCCTTTGTAACAACATTCCCAGGCTTAAATTTCCTGTTACCATGGCAACAAGGAGACATCTCAAAATTGCCAAAAAATCACTATTTTGCATTGATTTTTTCCATCAAAATTGATTTGAAAGTGCTGCAACTTCTCAATGAATTGAGATAAAGTCAAATTCTTTTCAGCGTAGGTTACACGTTACCTCATGATCGATCTGGGGTCAGTTTTAGCCTGTCACATGTCCAAAATTTTCTTGGCGATGAGGGGGACTGCCGCCCACCTTCAAACCCCCCAAACAGAAGGGGTCACATACCGCTTCTGGCAACCCCTGATGTATCTTTTGGTTGGGGGGGGGCCTTGCCGAAAAAGTGGTCACTTTTTTATTTAAACAACTTTTCTCAAACAAAAACAAGTGTTGAGAGCCTAAATAAGGCATTGTTTTCACCATTTGAGACAACAATAAGGGGGGGGGGGGAAAAAGAGGTTTTAAGGCGTGTATATCGGGTAATGGGTTAATCACTCACCCAAAACTCTTTGTAAGAAAATGCTCTGCAATAAAGGAGTAGGTCATTGGATCACATTTTATATTCTCAAAGAATGTTTCTAAGTTGTACAAATTTGAAGCTAAAATTATCAACATGATTTTCAAAGTTCATAGTTCTATACCTTATTTTAAAACAAAATATGTCCCTGGACAACAAACTTAACATTTCTCAGTGCTGAATTGTGTAAACTAAGCAATGATTGAAGAAAATCATTCAATAGGTAAGGCAAACCCTAACATAACAAACAAGATATAATACTTAACCTTTACGTGTAACCTTAACAATGAGCAAGCATAGCTGACATTAAACTTTTAAATGTGACCATCACCATGAACCAGCTTAGCTAACATTTCACCTTTAAATGTGATCTTCATTATGAGCAAGCAAATCTTACATTAAACCAGCATAGCTTACATTTAACCTTTAAGTAGGATCTTCACTATGAATCAGCTTAGCTAACATTTCACCTTTAAGTGTCATCTTCATTATGAGCAAGCAAATCTTACATTTAACCAGCATAGCTTACATTTAACATTTAAGAGTGACCTTCACCATTAACAAGCATAGCTAACATTTAACCTTTAAGTGTGATCTTCACTAAGTACAAGCATACTTACATTTAACCTTTAAGTGTGATCTTCACCATGAGTAAGCATAGCTAACATTTAACCCTAAAGTGAGACCTTCACTAAGTACAAGCATACTTACATTTAACCTTTAAGCGTGACCTTCACTAAGTACAAGCATACTTACATTTAACCTTTAAGTGTGATCTTCACCATGAGTAAGCATAGCTAACATTTAACCCTTACGTGTGACCTTCACTTAGTACAAGCATACTTACATTTAACCTTTAAGTGTGATCTTCACCATGAGTAAGCATAGCTAACATTTAACCTTTAAGTGTGATATTCACTATGAGTAAGCATAGCTTACATTTAACCTTTAAGTGTGACCTTCACCATGAACAAGCATAGCTAACATTTAACCTTAAAGTGTGATCTGCACTAAGTACAAGCATACTTACATTTAACCTTTAAGTGTGATCTTCACCATGAACAAGCATAGCTAACATTTAACCTTTAAGTGTGATCTTCACTAAGTACAAGCATACTTACATTTAACCTTTAAGTGTGATCTTCACCGGGAGTAAGCATAGCTTACATTTAACCTTTAAGCGTGACCTTCACTAAGTACAAGCATACTTACATTTAACCTTTAAGTGTGATTTTCAACATGAGTAAGCATAGCTAACATTTAACCTTTAAGTGTGACCTTCATTAAGTACAATCATACTTACATTTAACCTTTAAGTGTGATCTTCACTAAGTACAAGCATACTTACATTTAACCTTTAAGTGTGATCTTCACCATGAGTAAGCATAGCTAACATTTAACCCTTAAGTGTGACCTTCACTAAGTACAAGCATACTTACATTTAACCTTTAAATGTGATCTTCACCATCAGTAAGCATAGCTAACATTTAACCTTTAAGTGTGACCTTCACTAAGTACAAGCATAGCTAACATTTAACCTTTAAGTGTGAACTTCACTTAGTACCAGCATACTTACATTTAAACTTTAAGTGTGATCTTCACCATGAGTAAGCATAGCTAACATTTAACCTTTAAGTGTGATCTTCACTATGAGTAAGCATAGCTAACATTTAACCTTTAAGTGTGACATTCACCATGAACAAGCATAGCTAACATTTAACCTTTAAGTGTGGTCTTCACTAAATACAAGCATACTTACATTTAACCTTGAAGTGTGACCTTCACTAAGTACAAGCATACTTACATTTAACCTTTAAGTGTGATTTTCACCATGAGTAAGCATAGCTAACATTTAACCTTTAAGTGTGACCTTCATTAAGTACAAGCATACTTACATTGAACCTTTAAGTGTGATCTTCACTAAGTACAAGTATACTTACATTTAACTTTTAAGTGTGATCTTCACCATGAGTAAGCATAGCTAACATTTAACCTTTAAATGTGACCTTAACCATGAGCGAGCATAGCTAACATTTAACCTGTAAGTGTGATCTCCACCATGAGCAAGCATAGCTAACATTTGACCGTTAAGTGTGACCTTCACGATGAGCAAGCATAGCTAACATTTAACCTTTTAGTGTGACCTTCACCATGATCAAGCATAGCTAACATTCCACCTTTAAATGTGATCTTCATCATGAGCAAGCATAGCTCACATTTAACCGTTAAGTGTGACCTTCACGATGAGCAAGCATAGCTAACATTTAACCTTTTAGTGTGACCTTCACCATGATCAAGCATATATAACATTCCACCTTTAAATGTGATCTTCATCATAAGCAAGCATAAGTAACATTTAACCTTTAAGTTGGATATTCATCATGAGCCAGTATAGATAACATTTTACCTGTAAGTGTGATCTCCACTATGAACAAGGATAGCTAACATTTTGAGTGGGATCTTCACCATATGGCAGCATAGCTATCATAAAACTTTAAGTGCTATCTTCATTATGAACAAGCATAGGTAACATTTAATCTTTAAGTGTGACCATCATCATGAGCAAGAACTGCTTACATTAAATGATGCGTAAGCATAGCTAACATTAAACCTTTTAAATGTGACCTTCACCATTAGGAAGCTCAGCCAGCTTACATTAAACCTTATATGTTTGACCTTCATCAGGGTAAGAATAGCTATATTTAACTTTTAAGTTTGACCTTTTATTAATGAGTTTTGGCCTTAAAAGGGGGTCAAAGGCAACATTTTAATTTCTTACTTTGTTTTTTTTCCATTCATTATTCTGTAAATGCCCTCAAAATGAATACATAAGACAGTCAAAGGAACATAACTTTTCTCCATATAAAGAATAGAATGGTGTTTTCCTAACTTGACCCGCATGGGTCAGGTTAGTGCGCTAAGATTTCACAATAGTTTCGCACAGTGAACTCTTGAAACATTAAAGAACATGTCAAATGAATGACTTACACTTGTTTCTATCATACAATATCCACAATATCTGTTATTGTAACTTCAAGAGTTTGTTCAAGTCACACGACTTGTCTTTAAACTATTCAGTGATTCTGTTGGCTTCTAAATTTTGTTAAACATATATAGATAAATTTACGCGTTAAACCAAAAATAAATAAAATTAAAACAGAATTTCATGCTGGGACTTTCAGAAATGTCATTTTAGCGTGATTTGAGTAAATAAGATCATTATGATTTTTTGCCTGAATATCCCTTTAAGCAAGGAGTTTCTGCATGTGCCATATGCTTTTCAGGAAATATGCTAAAACTTTTTTTTTTCATACGGGGATTTTGGAAAATTTACTTTTAAAAATTCCAACAATATTTGTAAGCATTGGATAATTAAGGCTATATACATTTTGTACCCATTGTACATGGGATAAATCTTGTTGTTTATTTTTCAGTTAAAAGTATATTACCACATGGCCCACAAGAACTTAAATCATAAAGTAATTTATTAGTATAGTACCACAATAACTAAAATCATAAAGTAATTTAAAGTATATTACTACAAGAACTTAAATCATAAAGTAATTTAAAGTATATTACTACAAGAACTTAAATCATAAAGTAATTTCTTTACAATTACCTATCATGTCTTGACCTTCTTTAATGGAAAGATGTCTATATACATGTATACGCTTATCATACATCACTTGAGTCGCGTCACGACAAAACCAACATAATGGGTTTGCTACCAGCATGGATCCAGACCAGCCTGCGCATCCGCACAGTCTGATCAGGATCCATGCTGTTCGCTATCAGTTTCTCTACTTGTTATAGGGTTTGTAAGCGAACAGCATGGATCCTGGTCTGGATCCACGCTGGTCGCAAACCCATTATGTTTGTTTTGTCGTGACGAGGCTCATTTTAGTTAACAAACAGAAGTAAGTTTGTTTTACCTCTTTCTGTTCTGATACAAGTTTCTCTAGAACAGTAAATTTCTTTTTCAATTCGGCTTTCTCGAGTGTTTCCTGAGACATTTGGAATTCAAGTTCTTTTATTGTTTTCTTTAGTCCTTCAAGTTCTTTTTCATTTTCCAGCTTTCCCTCCTTTTCATCAGACATCTTGGCTTCAAGGTCTATTAGCTTCTTCTTCAGATCATCATATTCTTCTTTAGTTGCAGCATTTTCTGAAGATTTCAAAACTTTTGTCATTTCTTCCTTAATTTCTCTCAGGATTTCTTCAAAGCTTTCAGTCGTAATAATGAAATCTTTGTTCTTCAGCTGTTTAAAAGAGATCAGTCTTGTTATATTTTCTTTCATAAAAAATGTAGCTATGTAATTAATAATATTTACTCTTCTATATTATATATCAGGTCAAACTTCATTTCAAATTATCCCAATTGCTCTTTTATTTAAACTCTCATACTTTTTTCTTAAATCCACTTTTTTAAGGCAGTATACACTTACCTATGTAACTTATCTGATTCTCAGACATTACTATTTTCTCACTGTTTTCTTATCTATTTCAGCGTAACCAACAAGAGGGTCATGATGGCCCTGCAATCCATCACCTGAATATAGGCCTTTGGGGTAGGGCCAATTTTAGCCAAAGGGCTTTTATTTGAACAATTTTGGTAGACACCCATTAGAAGATGTTTCATGATAAATATATAAGCTCTAGCACTTTAAGGATTTTAAAAGAAGATTTTTTAAGTTTTTACTATACACAGATAATGAAGAACAATGATCATTGTGAAATGAAAATGATCCCCCTCCCTCCCCAATTTTGACCCAAGGGATTTTATTTACACAAACTTGTTACACACTCACTAGAAGATATTTAATGCTTGGAATCTAAACTCTAGCTCTCTGGGTTTTTAAAAGAAGATTTTTTTCAGTTTTTACTCACACAAAAGGAAAATCAATGACCCCCAGTGCAGGGCCAATTTTAACCCTAGAGCTCTTATTTGTACAAACTTGGATGACACCCACTAGAAGATGTTTCATGCTTAATATCTAAGCTCTAGCTATTTTGGTTTTTAAAAGAAGACTTTTTAAGTTTTCATTAAATACATATAGGGAAAATAATGACCCCCTGGGACCAATTTTGACCCTAGGGCTTTTATTTGAACAAACTTGGTACTCACAGTCTAGAAGATGTTTTGTGCATAATATCTAAGCTCTAGCTAATTGTTTTTGTTTAAAGCAGATTTTTTAAAGTTTTTACTATATACAAATAAGGAAAATCAATGACCCCCCCCCCCCGGGGCAGGTCTATTTTGACTCTAACTAGATGATGTTTCTTGCCTAGCTCTTTCGGTGCTTTTAAAGATTTTTCAAAAATCTTTTTACAAATACAGAAAATAAATCATTAAGATCATATGAACAAAAACTTCTTTTAGTCCCCAAACCAAGAATTGAATTCTGCAGAAAATCCCTATCATATTCAGGCTCAAAATTTTGGAACTCCCTCCCTTTAAACATAAGAAATTCTTCCAACTTACAAACATTAAAAACAAATTATCTTAAATGGTGGTTCTCTGGTGGGAACCAAATAATCTAGCTATGTTTTAATATCACCTATTTACATCATCATGTATGTCTCATAAAATGTACAATTTCATACTTTCAAATGTTTGTATTCATTTTCTTATTGCATTTTTCAATTACTCTACTTTTCTATGTTGTATAACTTGTATACATTAAGTTTTCTTTCTTTGTTTATATAAATCTTTGTTTGTAAATGTATATATGTACATTTTTGATAGAGGCTCATAGGGAAGACTGGGCTTGCCTAACTATGTTGCCTCTTTAAATAAAGTCTTTATTATTATTATTATTATTATTATAAAAGTTTTTTTCTTTCGGTAGCCAAAGCAACCTGAGTTCATCATTGAATTAATTTCACACTTAAGGGTTTGACATGCATGACATGTTGAGGTTCTAATAGGGGTCAAGATATATGCGGGTCACAGATAATTAGAGATACTATCATACAAACATATTGCAGGTTTTATTATCTCAAGAAAAATATCCTTCATACGCTTTTTCAATTTTCGGATATTTCAAGTTAATTTTTTATTGATATAATCCAAACTTTACCACAATATCATATTGCTTCAAATTCTGTTCCCAAAATTATGTCGTGAATTAAGTGGACTGTTTTCTTAAATCATTATAAGTCGACTCAATAAAGATTTCAAACTGACATAAAACATTATTTGCACTTACATCTTGAAGTTTCTTCACCGCTATCTGGGCATCTGATCGTTGTAACAGCTCCTTACCATCTTGTAGAACTGCTATCATATCATTTAAGTATGTATTTGCCTCACTTTCTTCCAATTCCATACTGCTTGAGTGGAAAACAGTATTTCTATACTGACGTACCTATTGAATAGAAAACACAGGTTCAATATTGTTCTATGCATATATATATATCTATATATATATATTATATATATACTGTTAAGCAATCAAAATTGTTTTGTTGAAACTTGTTTAGGTAATTACCTTCATTAAAGATGCAATCATAAATTATACCAGGCCTTTTTGCTTACATGTATATATTTATTGCAAATTTGAGGAAATTGTGTCTAAGATTTAGTTGTGAAATTTATTATTTGGGAAAAAATATGCCAGCATATATGTCGGGATATGGATTTTTTGGGATTGGGAAAATAAAGACAAAGTTTGCATTGGGAATGGAGCCTTTATTTGGACCCATGGGATAGGGGAAAGAAGGCCTGTACACAAATAGTTCTATATACAAATTTACAATTGTACATGTTTACAGTAAATATTAACCACAAGCCTTGTGAATTGTTACAACAAATTTTGAAATAAAAACGATTGGTGGATTTTTATACATTTGTTGTGAATCTTTAAAGTGGTGAATTACTTCATTACCTTCATAGTAAAATTTACATTTTCTCTTTTACTTACTAAATTATACAATTATTATAACATTACAATAGAGCTGATAAAGATAAGTAAAACATATTTTATAAATGATTTACCTTTGAAAAAAGGTTGTTTGTTCCTGTGACATTGCATCCAATGTGGCTATGAAAATACTGGTTATTTATCATTAGATGTAATAGCCCAGTGCAATCAGTTTCACAGGCAGATTGTTTCTGCTCGTACCCTGGAGCATTTATAAAACACTTACAAATGCTCCAAGGATCTGTCACCCACTGTAGAGCATCGCTGTTTTTCCAGTTAGGTGCAGGTGGCGTGGAGGCATGATGCTGCACAATAAAGTCATAGATGGCGCCACATATGTTGTTCGACAAAGCAATTTTTCCCTTAAAGCAACAGCTGCATTTTACTTGCCCAAGAGGACAGACTTTGTTTCCAGCACTCCCAGGTACTGGCTTATGGTCTGGCTTGAGAGTTTGAACTTGACAGCTGCCACATGTCACAGTTGATGGTAGTGACTTTGTAGACCGAATGTTTTGTAAAATATCCTTATGTTGTTGGTCAGCTATGTCATTACAGAATGGTACCAGTCCCTCCTTTAAATATCCAAGTCCTAAACCAGCCTTTACCCACTGTCTGTATTTTTCCTTCTCTAAATGAAGTTGATGTGCCATCCTGATACTCTATCAATATCTAAACAAACAAAACACAAAATAATTCATGTTTATATTTTATATAAATAAGTAAACAAGGTCTTGGCTTGCAATTTAAAGTTCAAAATATTGAATAAATATGATATGCAATCAATTTCAACCATGATGGGATTTCTTTTCAACAGACGATATCTCCAGCTGATCTTAAACTAAGAGAAGTACATGTATCGATGGCTCAGCGCAATACTGGTCTAACTGCTATTTTTGAAAATGTTCAGGAGAGACAAGAAACTGATTTTATTCAAAAATACTTATATTAGAAAATATTTTTTTGCTATGTTAACATTAATTATAATAAGAAATAATGCCATTTATATAATTTTTTATTAAAATGTTACAAATTGTGTATTTTAGAGTTAGACCTTTATTGCGCTGAAATTCTGAGCGCAATACAAGACTAACTTGAGTTAGACTCAAATTCCCTCTTGCAATTTGGTAAAAGTGGTACAAATATTTGAGTTAGACCTGTTTTATGTTAAATGTTCTGATATAAATGAAATTTTAAATTTTGAACAAAATTGTTTTGTTTATTTAAACATTGTTTAAAATATTTTGCAAGTCTGTAGAAGAACTTTACAGAGACTAAACCCTTTAATATTATTCTATTAATATATCATGCGAGCTGACTTTAGATGAAAGTACACTTCTTTCTTCTTTTTCAATTTGTTTGAGATTCAGATTTACTTAAGGTCTTTTGCAGATTATCTGTGCAATAAATTTGAATTCTATTAAAACAAAATGCAAACAGTTTTGATTCATATAGTGTTATGAACAGTTAGTCATGAACAATGATTACTGACGATCCAGGTATATATTATGATATCAAACTGGGAATGTACATTTTGTATAACTCACATTTGTACAAAGAAGACACATTTTATTTTCTCAATGCACACCATTACCACCATTGGTGCTTAAATGCTGTGATTCCGATATAACTGTTATGTGCTAAATCTTAATGAATTTAATGTATGTGGTCCTCTTTTCTGATGATATAATCATTTATAAATATCAAATATTTTCAAAAATGAAAACCGCTGTTAGACCATGCTTTTATTACAACTTTTGTATTTACTTTCTCAACTGTTTAGAGTATATTTTGAAAGTGTAATGTGCAAATTTTATGACATGTTTTGCTGAAAACTGTGCATATCTTAAGAAAAGACATGTTTTGCTGAAAGCTGTTCATATCTTAAGAAAAGTCATTCATTTTATATATCAAAGTCATTTTACCTCTAAATTTTGACCAAATAACAAGAGGTTGTCAAACATTTTTTAGAGAAAAAAGTAAGGCAGTACAACCCACTATCAGGGATTCATAGAACAAAGTATTGTTAGCACATGATATAATTCAGAATCATTTTTGTAAAGTTAGATGTGCTTTAAACACTTGCAACCACTTACTCATTTAGATATGAAAAGGCGCACACCTGAAGCACCATGTGCACACCTTAGATTAGCACTAAACAATTAGAATGGATAAATGTTTGAATTTTCTCATTGACACTCAGATACTATACCAAAAGCAGTTGATAGTCATTACATTTTTAATTTCATTTAATTTGATAGGTAAAATTAATGGCTTTTAGATCTAAAATGAAACATTTTTATCAACTTATAGCTGTTTCTGCCACATAAGTCAAAGAGTTTTTGACAATTACACTCTCGAAAATTCAATGGAGCTGTGTGATGTAAAAAATTATCAGAATACAAGAACTGAAAAGGTCATAATAATAATTATATAAGTGTGCATATATGATTTTTTCTGCACATATCACATGTATCACATCAGACAGAAAGATATTGTATCAATAATATAAGTATTGTGAAGAGTGTGATTTGCACATCTTGACACTATGTTGTTATTATATTGTTTGAGTTGATAGTGTAAAGTTTATATTTCTAACACAACGCGCATTTTTCTCTATTGAACATAAAAGAACCGAAAGTGTGTGTTATTATGCTATAAAATCACTGTTTTACGTTCTATATATAGACGTGTGACGTAATCATTAAACACATGACGTAACCACTAAAATTGTGACGCGCTGACAATAAGAACGGAAACAAATCAGGCGCAATTTAGCTAAATATCAGGTACGGCAGCATTTATTTGTTAATGTCGTGTTAGAATCGAAATAATATATCCAAATCGGTGATTTTATTGCTTGATAACATTACTGTTTGTCGTTCGGATGCGCATCATTATTCACTCGGGCTACGCCCTCGTGTATATAATTCCTCGCATCCGAACTCCAAACAGTGATGTTAATGAGCAATAAAATCACAGTTTTGGGATATATAATTTCTTAAATAACTTTACTTGATTAAAGAGAGTGATACAGAAGTAGATACATAATTTAAAAATAAAAACCCAAGAACGCCCTCAAACCTGAAATTGTTCATTGTGTTACAGGCTAAGTTTGATTTGGCAGTGAAACAATGTACAGTCTACCCCTTACACCATCTTAAATGAACAAAGTGTAAAATTAAGAATTAGGAAATCTCAGCATAATATTATGATTAAACAAAGGTCAAACTAAAAAAAAAAGAATTTTTAGAGGGGGTCAGAGGTTATGAATCCACTAGTTTAACACGTGATATTTTCCATTTTAAATGTGTGCATGAGAAACATACACTGTCTTTTACTAAATTGTACAAAAATGATAGTTTCAACTGCACTTTATGTTATCAAATAATACAGGATGAGTATGATGTAATGACTTCAAAGACAATATAAATGTTTAATTGTGACACTAAATATTAATAATTTTTTTCAAGATTTTTCATTTACAGTTACTTGTACATGATATGCAATTGGCTAATATTTTGCGATTAATACAAAGAACTGACGGAGGCAAATAATTTCTAGTGTTTTCATGAATTCTCACATTCTTTATAACACATTTCAATGGGATATGCATATTATTCTGTACCTGGAAATGAAACACTTAAGGTCTAACTCAAGCATTTTTGAGGAAAAGTGATATATTTGACATCGCAATAAGAGACCAACTCAAGTTAGACCTATATTGCACTGACAAAATTGAACTACCTGAGATAGACTTTTATTTTAAATGTAAATAAAAAAGGCAAAAAAAGCATAAATTACCCTAAAATTTTCACAGAGTGTGTATTTGACCTTACATTATCAAAATATGTAAAAAAGTGATTTTTGGTAAAAATGTCACTTAGACCAGTATTGCGCTGAGCCATCAGTATGATTCATGCTTGATTCATTGTGACCATTATATGAGCTTTGTTATACTTTTTTTGGTATTAAATATAGACAGTATGTTCCAATAGGAGGGCCATGATGGCCCTAAAATTGCTCACCTGTATATAAAAACTATCAATGACAAGAAACAAGTAATAGTGTAAGCTATAAACAAAAGCAGATATAAAATCTAAATCTTTAACTGATATCACAAAGTTAATATATGTATCTGAAATAATGTGTGTGTGTGTGTGTGTGTGTGTGTGTGTGTGTGTGTGTGTGTGTGTGTGTGTGTGTGTGTGTGTGTGTGTGTGTGTGTGTGTGTGTGTGTGTGTAAAAAACATAAGTGTATATAAAGAAAATCAATGACCCCCTCCCCCGGGACAGCGCCAAATTTGCCCAAGGGCCTTTTCAACAAAATTGTTAGGCACTCACTTAAAAAATGTTTCATGCTAAATATTTAAGCTCCAGGCTCTAGCTCTTTGGGGTTTATAAAAGTGGATTTTTTAAGTTTTTACTATACACTAATAAGGAAAATTAATGAGCCCCGTTGCAGGGCTTAATTTAACCACAGGGCTTTAACTTTAACTAGAAATCCTCGAGTCAGATGTGTCGCCTTGTGAACAATATAGTTTAGGAGAAATGGCCAGGACAAAAATGAAATATGAAAATTAACAAAGGGCAATAACTCAAAAAAAAAATAAGTGCTGAGCCCGAACAAAAATAAAGTATGAAAATCAACAAAGGGCAATAACTCAAAAAATAAGAAATGAAGAGTACCGGTTCTTTGCACTGCACTTCTTCTTAATGAGATCTATCATCCTATGAAGTTTTAAGTCCATAGCTTTTATACAATAGGAGAAATGGCCCGGACAAGTATTAAGTATGAAAAATAACAAAGGGAAATAACTCAAAAATTAGGAAGTGCAGAGTACTGGATCTTGTGCACTGCACTTCTTCTTAATGAGATCTATCATCCTATGAAGTTTCAAGTCCATAGCTTATATACATTAGGAGAAATAGCCCAGACAAAAATAAAGTATGAAAAATAACAAAGGGAAATAACTCAAAAATTAGGAAGTGCAGAGTACCAGTTCTTGTGCACCGCACTTTTTCTTAATGAGATCTATCATCCTATGAAGTTTCAAGTCTATAGCTTATATAGTTGAAGAGAAATGGCCCGGACAAAATTAAAGTATGAAAATTTACAAAGGGCAATAACTCAAAAATTAATAAATGCAGAGTACCGGTCCTTGTGCATTGCACTTCCGGTTATTGAAAGAAGCATGCATACCAAGTTTGAAGTCAATATGACTTATAGTGATTGAGTTATGCTCCAGACAAGCTGTAGGGGACCCTGTCGCCGACAACGACGCCGCCAACGGCACTGCCCACAATAGTAACCCCTATATGTTGCCTTGAAAAGGCAAAAACTGTGTAGATCCCCATTAGAAAAAGTTTCATGCTAAATACTTAACATTTAGCTTTTTGGTTTTTTTTAAAAGATGTTTTTTTTAGGTTTTTACTATACATGTACATGTATACATAAAAAGGTAATCAATAACTCCCTGTGGCTGGGCCAATTTTGACCCCATAGCTATTATTTGAACAAATTAGGTAGACACTCACTAGAGGATGTTTTATGCTAAATATCTAAGCTCTAGCTCTTTGGGTTTTTTTAAAGATTTTTATAAAAAAAAATTCTGCTTGGAATTAAATTCTTTGAACAATTTTCAAAGGTGACAGCCAAAGGAACATTCCTG